ACACACACACACATATATATATATATATATATATATATATATGTGGCTATATAAATATATGCATTATATATGCACATAAATTATGCTCTGTAAGGTGCTGAAAATCGCCGCTAAAAACACACCTTCAGAGTTGCAGCTGACAGTTTCCATGATCTTGCACATTAGCCTGTGTATTTGTGTGTGTGTGGTAAAATCATGGGTTATGTGTTATTTCTCTGTGTCTTGTGCCAGCCCTGACGCTCTGGCAGACTGGCAGCCAATCAAACGCTCCTGTGACCTTCCAGTCTCGCCACGCTAACAAGCTGGCCGCCAATCAAACCTTGACCTGTCAAAAAATGCCATATATAACGCCTCTTCACACGACACACACGCTCTTAAACAGACACACACATTTACCATCCAACCATCAGAAAGTCCCTCTACAGACACACGCAGAAAGTCACAAATCCAAGTACAAATCACTTCTGCCATGAACTTACAGTAATAATACACATGGGTTCCCAAGCCCTTTGCCTAATGATTTTTTTTTTCAGTTGATTGATGCCAATTAAATAGTTTAAAGCATTTTTTCAAAATCATTGTAGATTTACTATGGAAATTGTGGCTTTTTCAGTTGATTGATTTTTTAAAATATATTTTTCATTTATTTTACACACACAAAAAAACAAACAATTACTTGCCATTTAAATATTTTCAAGAAAAAAACAACAAAAAAAAACAAGCTATATTTAAAAACAGACATTTATATGATTTCTCTGGTCAACAAATTTTCCGAAAATAATTTCATCACTTTACACTCAAAAAGAACATTTCCTTGCCAATTAATATTTTGAAAAAAGGTATATTTATGATGGATGCTTTCATTAGTCTCTTAATCGATCGGTTTTTAAAAATGATTTGTAATTTTACACTCAAAAAGACCAATTGCTTGCCAAATGAATATTAAAAAAAAATTATCAAAGATGACTGACAATTAGCATACAGTTTGGATTGGCGGTATGATTCTGTTCTGGGCAAGAACTCCCTGTGCATCAATGCAGCCTAGCATGGATAAGAGCAGGGAGAGCAGCAATAACCCCCTTAGGGTAAACAGAACAGAACCAACATAAATGTATTGCGGATATCATTCATGCTCAATAATTTAATGTAAACATTTTAGAAATGAGTCTGATTCAATGGGGAATCATAAGGCCGAATCCTGACTGACGAGAGGAGGAGCTGGGGATGGCGGAGGGTAATTAGCTATTGAGCAATGTGAAAGCTGCTGATAATATTGAAGGGCCTTATATATGGGTGCTGTGATAGATGTCACATCCCTATAGGTAGATGTGGATCAGCTGAGAGTCAGCTGACGCCAGATTGACTAACGTGACCTGCCAGAACTAATGCTACGCTTGATAATTCAATTAGAAACTTTCATTAATCAATCTTTTTTTTTTTTTTTATTAACTGCAGTCATTTTACACTCAAAAAGACAAATTTCTTGCCAAATGAATTATCTATTTTAAAAAGTTATAATTACAATGGAAATATTTTTTTAAATTAATTTCAGTCATTTTACAATCAAAAAAGACCAATTAGTTGCCAATTAAATATTTTTAAAAAGTCATATTCACAATGTAAACTTTCATTACTTTTTAAAATCAACAAATTTTTAAAAATAATTTGTCATTTTACACTCAGAAAGACAAATTACTTGCCAATTAAATATTTTAAACCATTCAATAAAAGTATTAAACTAATTCAAAGTCTCTGCCTAACTAATCTAAACCTCACATTTTTCATACATTTCTTGGTTTCCCATTCCTGTGGGAACCCCGCTCGCTGTCTGACCCTCTCAACATCAACAAACCCGTCACAAACAGATGTTTACAGACAAAGTGGCACAGTCTAACAAGGTGAAAGAGAGTGCAGGAGAATGAAAAATAGGCGGGATGATATCCGTGTCGGCCCAGGGCGAGAGAAAGCGATGGGGGCGTATGAATGAAGCGGCTGCTGGTGTACACCGGGCGACACCAGATTTAATGATAAATGACACCGTCACCTTGCAGCGTTGCCAGAGCCTCGTTCAGGTAGTGATTCACCTTTGGAGCGTAGCGTGGTTCACACTCTCACACACTCACATGCGCTCGGAGCGACACCACTGCCTTCATTGGCGTAACAGATGTCTTCTGTAACCCAGTAGCTCCCAACGCTGTCGACACATGGAGGAGCCATCTGGACCAGAGCTCTGATGCTCCACAGACTGTGTGTGTGTGTGTTTCGAGTGTTTAGGGGTGGGGTGGGTGTAAATATGTGTGTGTGTTGTGTATTCCCATGACATCAGGAGCACCTGAGCATGCTGCCATTTTTTTGGTGGGATTTACCCATGTTTCCCTAGATTAAGATCTGTGCGACTGTGTGTTGATCATGACGTGGGCGGCAGTGAATGTGATTAGATGTAGGTGGACCCTCGGGCCAGAAACATACCCTGTGCAAGTACACAAGTTGCCGTTGTAAGTACACAGCATACATTCTTACATTACTGTCGCTATTCTTGCGTAATCTATTTTGGCGTACTCGAGGGGCTGATAGAGTTACCTTCAAATGTCTGTGCCATTACAGTCAATGTGAAACGCCCGGTCTGATGGATTTCAGAGCGAAACAGGATATTCAGCGACAAAACAAATGTAAGCGGGTCCTTTTTTATCCAGTGGTAATTGATTGGACAGTGAAACATTGTCTTGTCTCTGTATGACAAAATAATAATAATAATAATAATACTTTTATAAAAACAATAAATTTAAATAAATGCATAAATCTAATAAATAATAAATGTATAAAATATACATATCATATAATACATACAAATATGTAATAAATATAGTAATATAAAATGACATAATAATATTAACAATAATATAGAATATATTATAGAATACAATAAAATAAATGTACATAAAATATAAATATTACTACTAACAACAATATTTTCACATACAATGAATGCATAAAATAATACAACAAATTTTAAATACACCATTACTACATTTTTATCCTCATTATTATTAATATTACTGTTACATTATATTATTTTATATGATACATTTTTATATTTTTTATATTATATATTTTATGTAATATGTATATATTACCTTATATATAATAGAATATATTATAACTATAAAATATAAAATGTATATAAAATATAAATATTGTATAATAATAATAATAAATCATCATCATTATTATTTAAAATTAAATAAATACATTTAATGAAATATAAATGGTATAGTAATAGTAATAATATATAGTAATAATAAAATGTATTGTAAAATAATATTATAAAATTAATGCATACAATATATACAGTACATATTATATTCAAATTAGTGCTGTCAAATGATTAATCTTGATTAATCGCATCCAAAATAAAAGTTTTTGTTTACATAATATATGTGTGTGTACTGTGTATAATCGTTTGACAGCACTAATTCAAATATATATACATGTTTAATACTTTATTTTATTACTTCTTTTATTTCTTAGGAATACTGTGCACTGACACATTTTGTACAAAAAGTCTAGGAATGTCTATTGGGAAAGTAAATAAAAGTGATCATGTCAACAGTTAAACTAACTTTAACTTGTGCAGCAAGATTCTCTTAAAGCATTGCTGTGCTGTGACAACAGTTGAGTTAAAAGAGAAAACTGACCATAGAGTAAGAGACGTATTTGTGGTGTCATGTTATGAATTGCGTTCAAACAATTTGTGGATCGCAATGAGGCGTGAAACCGAGCTTGTGTTTGCACACTTGCATAGAGTATATTTCAGACGTTACAGCGTATACAGGCTTGAGATCTCATAGGAGCGCTGAATAAACAGCTGAGATATTGCTTATAGCATATAAACCCCTTTATGCACACACACACACACTAATTACAATAAATCCTGCATGGAGAAGAAACAAACAAAAACGCTAAGTAAATATCTGGAAAGGCCTATTGCTGTACGCAACACAATAGCCACGTTTGTAAGTGTTCATGTTTGGGAATGCTGTGGAAATCAGGATTTGGACTTCTGCTTCGGTCCACAGGGATCCTATATCACAATCTAACACAAACAATGAATGTACGGAGAGACTTCTGATGCACAAAACAAAATGAAAGCACATTCACAGGCCACAAAACACCCGCCACCTCCGAGCACCGGGAAGAACAGCAAATCAGAGAGAAGAGCTGAGGTGTGTGATGCAGCAGAGAGGTTGAAAGACAGACAGAGATAAGAGACACATTTTAGTACACTTGTGTGCATTATAATATGAGGGTAATGTGGTCTAACCATGGTAAGGAAACTGCACGCCATCGTTTTCGTGTTTTATCTTCCTCTCCTGCATACTGGCCAAATGGTGTTGCACTGAAAAACCCAAACAGGGGTAAAGAATAGAGTTAATAATGACAGAGAGGGGGAGAGATTGAGATAAATTAGAAAGATGGGGGAAATTTGGGACCACTGTTGAATCATTATCAATACATCATCACTATACACACTTAAAAAACATCATATGCATGAGGTCAAAGACAGTATTGCTCACTATCTCCCAGAATCAACCCATTCTAAGTGCACCAAAACAGTAGAGGTGAAAAACACACAAGTCCCAAAAAGCGTCCAATCAGCAGCTAAACTATGAGGGTGGGGCAGAATATCAAATGAGCATTGGCTGCGTCAAAATTCACATACTGTACATACTAAGTACTTATAAAAATGAGCGTCACAACTGGCATACCACACATGTTAAGCAGTATGCATGTGAAAAATGAGTGTTAATTCAATACTATCCATACTAAGTACTAAAACGAGTGTTAAAGTTTATATTCTATGCATACTTAGTATGCAAGCTAAAAAATCTGTCAATTTGCATACTATTTATATTAAGTGGTACACAAGATAAGTGTCACAATTCACATACTATCCATACAAAGTAGTATGTAAGCTAACAAGTGTCACAATTTGCATACTATCTATATTAAGTAGTATGCAAGCTAAAAAGGAGTGTCACAATTTATATACTATTCACTATTAATAATAATAGTTTAAGTAGTATGCGAGCTAAAAGTGAGTGTCAATCTGCATACTATCCAACTTTGGTAGTATGCAAGCTAAAAACAAATGCCAGTTTGCATACTATCTATAAGTATGCAAGCTAAAAATGAGTGTTACAAAGCACATACTATCCATATATAGCAGGGGTGGCGAACTCCGGTCCTGGAGAGCCGCAGCCCTGCAGAGTTCAGCTCCAACCCTAATTAAAACTCAGCTGCCTGTAGCTTTCTAGTAACCCTTCAGACCTTGATTAGCTTGTTCAGGTGTGTTTGATTAGGGTTGAAGCAAAACTCTGCAGGGCTGCGGCTCTCCAGGACTGACGTTCGCCACCCCTGATATATAGTATGCAGTACAAAAACGTGTGTCTATTTGTATACTATCCATACTAAGAAGTATGCGATCTAAAAGTATATGTATTTCAAATACTAGTACAGTGAAAATAGTGTATCATAGGTGTCTAGATTGTATATATCAGTATGTATATTCAATTTTTGAAGTATGCATTTCTGAAAGCTTTCTCAGATTCATTTTGTCCACAAGTATGCAAAATGGGGTGCAGCCAATGTATTTTGGGTGTCAAATCCAACATGTTTTGATTTTGTGGCGTAAGCACAGGGATAATTTTTAACTATTCATTGCTTTGATTTATTGAGGGAATGGTGCATGTTTAAGGGTCTGGGCCCGGTTGCATGAAAGTCCTTAAGTAATTTGACTTAGGGGTATCCCTGAGGGGGAAAAAATCCCTGAGGTAAGGGATTTCGTTAGGAGTGTTGCAACAAACGTCTTAACTGTCACCCTTACCTAAGTGTTTATACTAAGCGTTTCACGGTAGTTTCTGGCAACATACGGCAATGGGCGCCACGGTTACTATAGTTACTACATCTCACAATAAACAGATATGTATACATATCTATGACAATAAACAGAACATAATGAAATACAAACCTAACCAACTAAAACACAGACAAACATTAAATAAACATGAGCGCTGCCCGTTTCTGCGCAACGAAGTAAAGCTACTCCGTTACTGTCCACCACTGCTTAAAATTTACATAAAACTTTTTGTTTTGTGAAAACCTGTAAGTCATGCTATTTACAGTCATTTTACAGTTTAATATGTTACCATAGTCATTGCCCTACTGCGCTCATATGATATTTTATTTGTGCAGGTCTTAAAAAATGTCTTAAGTCTTACATTTGAGTTTAAAAATCCTGCAGATACTGAGTTTAAGATGACTTAAGGGAGCTCTTTTGGTCCCTTAAATTTATTAAGGTGAAATGGTTACTAAGGACTTTGTAGCAACACTTAAGGGAACACTTAAATAATTAAGGGGAATACTTAATGGCAGCCTTAAGGTTCCTTAAGTTGACCCTTAGGTTTTTTTTCTTGCAATCCAAGTTTCACCAAGGGCTCCCTTAACCTTATAACTAAGGGATTTCTTAGCATAAGGGCTTTCATGCAACCGGGCCCAGACACACTCTCCTAAATGTAGATTCATAAAGTCAGATTCGTTTTAGTGAACTGATTTGTTTGCACAGTTAATAAATAAACAGATTCACTGATCAAGTATACAGTTCACCAATTCATTTAAGTGCTTATGTCTTTATTGTAGCAAGATATTCAGTTAAATGCTGCTGTTCATCATGTTTTATCATTATTTATATTCTGTTTAATGCTGTCACCCTAATTTAGGTTCACATTGTTTGTCAGATACTTCTGATTGTAAAAAGAGATACCATGTTTAAACATTTTTGATGATATTGTATGTAAATGGTTGAAATTTACACTACCACATAAGTTTGGTGTCAGTACTTTTTTTTATTAATACTTTTATTCAGCAAGGACACAATAAATTGATCAAAAGTGGCAGCAAAGAGATTTATAATCTTTTGTTGTACCGGGCCCTGGTGTGAGGATACAGGTCATGTGACAGTAGCACTGCTCAAGTTAAAATGAATTTCACCACCACATTCTGCCCATGCAACACCACAACAATGCTGCCTTTTCACACTTACAAAAAAAAGATACCATGGTAACCATAGTTTCCACAAAAATGATTCCAGTTATGTGGTAATTTTGGATTTTCTATCACCATCATCAAAAAAGCTTGCACTGCTTGAATTACGTCCAAACCCATTTGCTTTTGGTAGACAATATGGTTACCATAGTAAATATTTCTAATGGACAGTCAAAATATAAAAAAGAAAAGAAATTGATACAGAATAATACAAATAAAGGTCTTAATTAATAGAAATCAGCACTATAAAGAGGAAAGAAGAAGATTTAAAGTAAAACTACTCAAAAAGTATGTTGATATTGTAAAACGGTCTGGTTTATATGGTAAAATGCAATAAAAAACTAAATCTGTGAAAATATTACAAAGAAAATAATTTCATTTCCATCACTTTCATATCTATTTTAAGTTGATAAACTGTTCAATTGCTATTAATATCAATACAATCTACACCATAAATATAGGAAATATCTAATCAAACTTGTATTCTTTAGTGCTTACGGTTTCAATAACATTTCAGTGTAAACTATAAATGATTACATATAAAATGTTTCTTTAACCCTAATTCTGTGAAGCTCATCACCTGCACGCATGAATTAAGAATGATTTGAAGTGCTCTTAAGATTTGAATTTAGCTGAGCCCCAAACAAACCCAACTAACAGATCAATTAACATGCACATGATTCTAGCTATCCGATCGCAAGACTATCCAATGTTTGTCCCCGTCTTATTTATTCTCGCAGTCTACTGAGGTATGAGAAGATGGTGGGCATGCACAGAGGAGAAGAAAGAGAGAGAGGGAGCAAAAGAGAGAGATTAATGGGTTGATGGATAAAAGGAAGGAAAAATCTGGCCCTTCACACAGCCCTTGTGTCCACTTATTCAGTGCATAAATGACTCAAACATGAGTCCCAATTGGATCTGATTATAGATTCAGAGGTAAGTCAGAGTAGACGACATATTTCATTTGACAAAAACAAAAAAAAACAAGGCTTCGAGAGACAATCGTGCAGCATGTTTAACATTAAACGTCTATCCCTCAAAGTCTTTTTGACAGCACAAGTATGGCGTCTACTCTGACTACTCTATGTAAACTTTGATTGGTGCAGCTCAATATAAACAAATGTTTTTTTTTTCATCAGCAGTGGTCTAGATGAGTGGAGGTCAAGCAGAGCATGTGAAGAGCCACAGGGCTGCTGGGTAAAGCGGCCGTACCTGCATCAACATCATTGGGCCAGCCGCTGGGCTGGGACACTCCCGGGGCAGGAGAACGGCCCGAATAGAAGACTTCGTCCACGGGGCTCTCCATCTCACTGTCATCAATGGATTTACGCTTGTTGGAGCTGAAAGAGAAAAGAAAGAGAGAAGATGAGGGGGGATTTTTTTTGGAAGGTTTGGACATCTGGAAAGTTTGCATGTTGTTGTATTGTGAAACCTCTGAAAATTCCTGAATAGTAATGAAGCAACATCCTTTAGATTAACATTATTTACATCTAAAGATTTTTAATTTGCATTTAAAGGTTTCTTGACCTCAAAAATGGGAATGTTTCAAAGGAGTAGTTCACCCAAAAAATGAACATTTGCTGAATATTTACTCACACCCAAGCCAAGATGTAGATGAGTTTGTTTCTTCATCAGAACAGATTTGGAGAAATGTAGCATTACATCACTTGTTCACCAATGGATGCTCTGCAAGACATTAACTGATGAACTGGAGTGGTGTGGATTACTTGTGGATTATTGTGATGTTTTTATCAGCTGTCATTCTGACGGCACCCATTCACTGCAGAGGATCCATTGCTGAGCAAGTGATGTAATGCTACATTTCTCCAAATCTGTTCTGATGAAGAAACAAACTCATCTACATCTTGGATGATCTGAGGGTGAGTACATTTTCAGTAAATGTACATTTTTAGGTGAAGTATTGCTTTAAATACAAATTATTACACTATAAAAACATTACAACAGAAATTTGTCAGCTTAAAAACAGTCCACTAAAATCATCACTGTTTCAAGAGCACAGGTTATCTTAGCAGAATGAGACATTAGATGAGCAAAGACAGCAGAGCAGAGCAAGACAGCAGAGCCTGAAGTGTGGAGTACCTCCGCGGGAGACTGGCATACAACTCCATCTCAGTCCTGCAGTGTTTGAAACATGACGACAAGACAAGAGAGAAGGGACAGGAGAAGAGAAAGATAAAGAGACAAAAATGACAGCAATCAAACAGATAAAGGTGAAAGTCAGAGAAAAGAGTAGGATAAAAGATAGACAGAAATATACACAGACAAAGAGGAAAGCAAGAACGTGTGAGTACTACCAACATGCATTAAACTAGAGAGAGATTGATTTGTAAAGTAGTTTAAGACATGCAGGAGTTTATTAGTATATAGTCAGAAATGTAGCAAAGCTTGGGGCCAAAATGTCACAGAAATTCTAATTTCTGCATTAGTATTTTTTCTTTATTTTACATGCATAATATCTGATTTAATTCTAAAAAAATTATATTCTAAGACTAGTTCATCTAATTATTCATATGTACATTTATTAAATGTATATCTTTATTTAGTAACAAATGTAAGATACACAGTCAGTGCAATTTAAATGTTTTGAAAAAAATAAAATAAAAAAATAAATAATCTTCAGGAAGCAACAAACAATTTTACAACAAATGTTGTTAAAAAATGTCTGAGAGTAGTTGTTTTCAATCTGGGGTTGCAAAAGAGTGCTATGGGGTCTGTAGAAAAATTGTGTAAAAATGTGAAAAAAAA